CATATCAGCAAAATGCTGAATACCATCTACCAAAATACCTTCCTCATCAAATGCTGACACTGCAGACATTTCTGAGACTCTGCCACGTAAACTCTGGTATGTGGCATCATCATAACGTAACCTCTGACTGTGAATAAGGAAAGCTAGGAGGTCAGTTTCATGTTTTAAAAGGACTATGTCAACAGGTTTTTCACTTCATCTCAGAATTAAATTTTATTATTTAAAACTCGTTATTAAAAACTTTCTGTATAAATAATTTTATCAGTAAATGTTATTTATATTTTTTATAAATAACTGCATTTTATAATTAATTTATTAACAATATTTATCACGTTGTAGTGCTCTGGCTCTCCTGGTCAGGAAGGAGACAAAGCCTTCTTCAGACAACTAGACAAAGCCTTACATTCACAGGTCTTGGTCCTCCTGGGCATTTCCTGGTATCTGCCAGAGGACTACAGCCAGGCTCAAACAATACAGACCTGAGTGCTTTGATATTAACTTCCCAGCTCATGTGATTGAGAAGCCCCCAGTGGAAGCTGCTGTGCTGAACCCTGTAGGTACAAACAAGGCAGAACTGCTCAGGGGTGTGAAAGCTAGAGGCAGCCTTGGCTGCCGTGACCATGAGATGGCAGAGTTCAGGACCCTAACAGAACAGGGCAGAAAGGATATGTATAATCACAGCATAAATACATACTGTTCGGATTTAGGAGGTTTTGAAAGTGCTAATACTAATAGTAATAAAATAAAAATTAAAAATAAAAATAAAATAAAATAAAATAAAATAAAATAAAATAAAATAAAATAAAATAAAATAAAATAAAATAAAATAAAATAAAATAAAATAAAATAAAATAAAATAAAATAAAATAAAATAAAATAAAATAAAATACCCTCAATGCACTTCTTAACAACCTGGCATAGTAAAATCCATTCGAGTTATGCCTGTCACCACGCATATTTCCTTTTCTCAAAGCAAATATAACAGGAAATGCATGAAGCTTTTTAAAAATATCTTACATTGCAAAACAGTCAGTCATGTCTTACAAGTCATGAACCATAGGAAAATATATAGGTTTAGTTACATAAGCAGTTTATTTAAACAGTGATAAGCAACCAGTACTTTCAGGAAGTAAAAAATTGCAATATGCTTAGAGCAGTGAAAATAAATGCCTACAGCTCATACTTTAAGAACATCAAAGAAATCAAAGGCTAAGAAGCAATTTATGCACAAGGCATTGCTAAAAGAATTAATGCATGCTTATTTCGCTTTCTCTGATACTGTTAATTAAACATTAAAATTCATGTTTACACTTAAATACCTTACCGATGCGCTGTAAAGCAGCTGCATATATTTACTTGTGTTGAAGAACGATCACATTACTTTTTCTCACTCAGTATTTGTAGGACTCAATACGACTATTAGTAAGTATTGGATACTTATTTAAGAACGTTATATTTTTCTCAAAGTATGAAGTCAGACTGTTCATTATCCAGACATGTCATTATCTATCTCCTGACCTTAACAGATTAACACATAACCACATGGAACACCAATTTTAAGTATATGTAATATTTTAGATATAGGCACAGGGAGCAATGGCATTAAAGGATTAAAGTTCTTCTCTCTCTCTCTCTTTTTTTTTTTTTTTTTAACTTGAAACACAAATACTGTATCACAGCATGTATCATAGTAAAACCTAAGAGAACACCACCAGCTGTTACCCTAATTTTACAACAAAAAGTCTTGCAAACATACAGGAGTTTCCAGTAGAGATTTCAGATTGCCCACAAACTGAGACCAAGCAATGCCCAAACATAGATCGTAAATGATTCTCACAGTTACATTTATCACTCTTGCACTACCAAATGTTTTTTTTGCCTAAAAGCACAACAGGCATCCAGAAAAAGAACAAGCTTTGACCCACACTTTGAAATTGTTATGTGGCTCCAAGACTGTCACACCACGTCACATCACACCAGATTGTGTATGGATTCTATTGTGGGGCTTGCTTTATTTTGCTTTATATACTAGCAGAAACTTGGATGCTATTCTGAGCTTATTCTCAAATTAAAATATATGGGAGTAGGGATTCAACTCCTGGTGGTAAAGTCAACAACTAGGTCTGCCAAGGAAGCCTTAAAAACTGACCAGATAGCCATCAGTGACTCAAAGTTAATCACCACTCACCTTTTGGTTTTGGCAGGCAAACAGAATATTTATCAAGTTGTAGCCTTAAGAACAGTCCAGCATGAAGTACACTGCACGTACTTCTTTTGCACCAGCAGTTTGCCATCTCTAACACCATTGAAGAGTAGGATCATTTCTCACAATCTCTTTTTTTTTTTTTGTAAACAAGCCATTCCACACACTTGCGCGTACACACACGCTGAAAAAAAAAAAAACTTTCAAAACATAAAATTTCTTTACAATATTTAATTTAAACTCACCATCATAAGCTATCACTAATGCCACCACTTTCTCTGCTACCAAAAAAAAAAAGCTCTCTAAAGCATAATACTTACGAACACTCCACTCCTTCAACATTCACAAGTCATTCATTTTATCTAAATTGAAAACTTACCTACCTTATTCCTCCTACATCTCCTTTTCACATCTTTACTGACTGAATACTTGCTAGGAAGCTGTAAGTCAATTGTCTTGCCATATCAAAAAGTCAGTCACCATGAGGGATCACCAAATCATGCTTAAGAAAACCCATTATTCTATGCATTTGTGCTGAATTCAGACTATCACCACTACAAGTATTGAGTACAGATACTCTTAAATCACATCCACTAAGGTGCTTTACAGGAAAAATCTATTTTAAATCTACTTTTTCAGAAAATTTAGGAATTCATTTAGAGATACTTGCCCCCAACTATCATTCATGGTAATATTCAGGGTAAAAATCACATTTCACAATATTTCCCATGACATAGCCTAAGTTGCCTAAGTGCAACTTTTACTTTTACTCCAAGCTGTGCCTCAGAATGCTATGCTCAATGAAAACCATGGTTTAGTTAAGCTGTTCCTGGGGTAGATGGTGGAGAGAAAACACAAAGAGACTGATTGCACAATGCAGTCTGTCATCACAATATCCATCAAAACTTTTTTTTTGTTTTAATTGTTACACTCATCACTCTCCTTGTTTCTTAAAAAGCACGTGGTCTCTTTATCTTCCCTTCTTTCTGTCCTTGCACTTCTTTTAGTGTTCTTTGCAACAAGTAGATCTCATTTAGTGCTCTTTAGAAAGCCAGTGTTTTAACACTACATGGTGATGACAGGCTGAGTAAATACTTTCAATCATTTTTTACTATGAAAAAAAAAAAAAGATTCCTATTCTGAAAACCATTTTTGTATGTGACTCATCAGAGAGCCTGTCCAACACTGAAGAAAATACAGCAGAGGTTGTGAAACACACTGACAAAATAAACAACAATCAGCAGCACCCCACAGGCATCACAGAAGAACTCAAGGTTAAATGGCTGAATGACAGCAGGTTAACTCTCATTTCGCAGTTCCTTGGCCCCTCAGGACTAGAGGTAGAAAATGTGAGACAACTTAAAAATCTACCACAGGTAAAATTTCACACAAGCAGAAACTGTAATTAAAAATACAGTTAGGGAACACTCACAAAATTCTGTGATTCACATGGGAAGAATTAGCGTGTCTTTTGCAAAAGGAAACGCTGCTTTTCAAGACTACTACGGACCTCAGAAATGGTCAACAAACACGTAGAAGAGGGTGTTCTACTTCGTAAAAACCAACCTGGAGCTTCCAAAAGGCATTTAACAAAGTCCCTTACCCAAAGGTTACCAGGAAACTATGCAGTCACAGCATGAGGAAGGGTCCTCACCAAAATAAACAGAAACACATTACCCAAGGTGCAAATCTCCAGCTCACTCACACCTTGAAAGCTGCATGCAAAAGAAGAAGGTAGAAGCCAGAATCAAAATAAACTAAAAAGGGTAATTCTTCCAATTTGGGTTTTGTAGGCCTGAGGTGTCTTTTTGTCAACAAGATGCTGTGGAAACAGTAATTTTACATGGGTTCAGAGAAGACCACACAGCAGCAAAACTATTAAGTGGGACATATTAATCACAAAGCCAAATCTGGCTCAAGAAGCCCCCTGAGCTAAAACTACTTGAAGAAAATGAGAATAGCAAAAGGGAAGTCATTCATCTGTCCAGTTTTCACTTTGGCCATCAACCATTACCCATGTTTGTTTTTTTTCAATATGTAAGTTTACATTTACAAATGTTATGACTGACACTATACATACCTTTGTGATGTAGTCGAATTTGGATATAGCATCAGAATGTTTACGTAGCAGATCTGCTAGTAAATCTCATCAGCTTTCATTTAAGGAACACTTACAAGACCTGTTTACAGGAACCTCACCAAAAGTGGTCTCCTGAAGTTTCGAAGAGCTTTACTTTATAGTGACCACACCTACACTTCATAAAATCAGGTATCTATTTGTTTTGCCAATCAACAGCAACGCATCAAATCAATACAAGTATTAAATAGTATTTTATTTGGTGCTTTTTGCACAAACTTTTTGCCTCGGGAGCCACTGAGGTACTGCCCACTCCCTCCACCAGAAGGATGTAGTCGCCGTCCCTGGGGGTGTTCAAGGAGAGGCTGGACGTGGTGCTTGGGGACATGGGTTTAGGGAGTGACACTGGTGTTTGGGGGACGCTTGGACCAGATAATCTCGAATGCCTTTTCCAACCCTAACGATTCCATGAAAGCACAACAGCAGCTCTCGCCCAGCGCCCTTCAATCCACTAAAAGCCCCGCTGCCCTCCCTGCCAGCAGCGGGGACGCCATTTCCCAGCAGCCGGCTGGGGACCAGCCCCGCGGGGCACCCAGCCCCGCCGCCAGGCGCAGCCTCCGGCCAGCGGGGCGGGGCGGGGCGGGGGCCGGCCCGCAGCGGCCGCCGCCATCTCCGGCCGCCCTCCCGCTGCCGCCGGCTCCGCGCCGCGCCGCGCCTCACCTGCAGCGGCCGCACTCCGGCCGCCTCTCGCAGCGCTCCACCGGCAGCTCCCACAGCCCCGCGCAGCACTCGCGGTCCTCGGAAGGGGACGGGGACCGCGACGGGGACGGGGACGGGGACGGGGACGGGCCGGCAGCGCTGCTGCCGCCGCCTCGCTCCATGCCGGGGGTAGAGGGGGGCCGCTGCCCGCTGCTGCCGCTCGGGGGCGCTGGTGGTCGGGGAGAGGCGCCGCGGCGCCGCCCGCCATTTGCCCCGCCTCTCCGCCGCCGCCCAAACTTAATGGCGGGCAGCGTGAGGTGGGATTGGGTTCGTGTTCCCTCAGCCAGTGCAGCCGAGCCAAGGGTTTGGGCTGCCGGCCCCAAATGTAAAGGAAATAAAATTTGTCGCCAAAGCTGTTGTAGTTGACCCCAGAAAGCAACTGGAGTGCAGTAATTAGCGAGTCCGCAAGCAGAAGGTCCTCCCCTGAAAGTATCAACTTCGAGTTGTCCCCATGTTGTGCGTGTTAAACATCACTTTTACATATTCACGTTCTTCAGAGCCATTTGGTATAGTTCAGACTTGGTGGTACTAGGTACACACACAAGATGTTTTCCATTTATTTGTTTATTTATTTATTTTGTAGTTGCATACAATGCAAATAAACTCATTTTCTTACTACTAGAATACATTTTAATCAAAAGAATTGGTTTTCTGAAGCTGGCTGTAAAATTGCTGTGAGCGCAATAAACTGCTTTACAAATTTAAAATTATAAAGTTATTTATTGCAAATATTATATGCTACCTAATACAGGCTTGGGGGGCAACAGAGGTAAAAAAGGTTCAGTTTTCCCTTAACTGAAAGACACCATTGTCACAAGACACGTTGGTATAAACTGCAAAGAATTTATTTTGGCTAATTATTGGAAGTAGTGCCATCATAGTGGACAGGATTGTTGAGTTAGACCAGGGTCATCTTCACACTTCCAGTTGCCAAAAGGAGACCCCATGCAGTGCTCCTGACAGGAGCCTGGACATGTCTTCACAGCTTCCCATGGGAGTCCAGAAATAGCAAGTCTTGTAAGGATAATCAGCTTCAGTCATAAGCTTAAAAACAAACCATTGTAAACCACTCTAGTCTGATACACGCACAGAATAAAATTAATATACTGACAGATGCGTAAAAGAAATGTAATAATAAAGGTACATGGGGTGACTTCATTGATGAGGAAATGGGCAAATGTAGCAGAGAGAAGCCACGGGCTAAACAGACAAATATAGCTTTTCTTGTATATATCCATCTGAAGAACAAAGTGGGCAGTTTAAAACAAAGTAAAATGTTGGTACAAGACCAAGCTGGGATAAACTGCCCATGCCTAAAACATATGTCTGAATTTATAGGGTTCCTGTTTTCAGAACACTGCTGTTCTAGACTACAAACAAAAGCAACAGGAATTTAAAACCAGCCCAACCCTAGTTTTTGTGGGGGACAGAGTTAGTGTTTGCTATATACACATTTTACCAGAACTTAACAGACCAGTAACTTCTGTAATTACGGGCCATCAAACTATGAATCTGACACCAAATAGTCATTAAAAACAAAACAAAACAAGAAGCACAGAAGCACAATTTCTAGGCCAAAGAGTCTAAAACAAGTTTAAGAGAAATGTCTCAATATTTTTATGACTTCCTGATAATCTTTTTTTTGCAGGCTAGTATGAAACTACACTACAAATTTAATGCGTAACTACCTTGAGTATTTTCTGTGCATACATAAAATTAACACCTTCCCCATCCTACTGGAGACCCAAGGAACTCAAAGCATCTCTTTGGATCTATGTTTGCAATCTATAAATTCACTGACTCCCAGTTGACACCATGACTGGGAGCTTCTTATCTGCACTTAATACTCCTTCATGTACTGCATTGTTCCCTTTTTTGGGACTGTGAGTGATCACATGTTTGGTGACTATCTATAGACTCACCGGATTATGGAAAGTCCATTACATTTTATGGAAAGTACCATTCCTCTACATGTCCAATCCCTTGTGTATTCTTATATAAATCAGTTCACATTTATTCCAGGATTTGCTCATACCAAGTAAGAACAAGTTACACTTCTTGCTGTTACCAGTAGAGTACCCAGAAAAGTCCCCTGGATAAATTCAATTTGACATATATTTGTTTCCAGGAGATGTGAAGAAGCCACTTTTTGAGGGCAGCACACTCAAATGGCAGGTATTCCCCAGCAGCTTTAGCCAGTTTGGTGCAAGGTACCACGTTCCTACTCTCTGTCTCAACTCGTGGTTTCAAGTACCAACACAAGGCATATGAAACTCTGCTGAGCTTATGACCTGCTTTTGCAAAAGCTACAGCCTCACGCAGAATATGCTTTCATGGGGGCTCACAGATGTTGAATTCAGACTTCTTTTTCTTTCCTGACCACCCGCATACGTAGCTATACATTCACAGGGTTGCTCCAGAAGCCAGCAGCTAAGCAGGATGAACTGCCTAAACAGGCTCCAGCAACAAGTGTAGGGTGCAAACGCAGAGGCAGAGCTGGGAGCTTGGAAGCCACGACTGGCTAAGCTGCTGTCTCAGCATATCACCAGCAAGCCTGGGGAACTGAGCGGCACAGAGAACAGTGAACCAGACTCAGAGGCGGTAGAACTGGAAGTGCAGTCACAAGTGGAAACAAGGTTGGAAAATGCAAGCCAGGAGATACTCACCCAAACATTCATGCTGCAGTGAGAAAGAAGAGGTGTTTTTTTTTGTTTGTTCTCTTTTTTTTTTTTTCTATCACAGCTTCTCACAACAGAAGACAGCTGTTGTTTGTAAAGAAAAATGACATTGCCAAAGCACCCTCTAAGCTGGGAACATTTGTGAACAGAAGCTTACATGGACATATAGAAGCTAGCGTATTTTGTAAGGGGGTTCATCAGCTATGTTGGTAAACACCACTGTGGATGACAATTGGTACATGCTGGACAGGTTTCGGAGCATCTGAACTACTCAGAATGAGGAACTGGTGAGTTCTGGGGAAGAGCTTTATTTCTGTTTGACTCAAGCACATGCTGACCAGGTTTGCCAGCCCACCTCTTCATGCAGGCCTTTTTGAAGCAAAAAGAAGGGCTTAGTGGGACAAGCTAGCTGGTCAGTATAACACAACTCCAACCTCCCACCAAGGATTTTCTGACTGCTGCTACTGGAGATGCAGTATTTTTCCACATGCAGAGATGCTGTGAGGCTCAAGAGCAAAAGCTGAGTCTGACAATATCCATACTGGGACCTGCCATAGGATAACTGAGTAATTGCAAAAGCTGGGGATAAACCATCCCATGCTGTTTGTTTGCCTGGGCAGCTAAGGGTTACACACACACATACACACACACATACACACAAATTTGGCCATCCAGTACTGAAAAAATGATTACATAGTAAGAACAATGTAGAATGCATCATGTGTCTCCATCTGTTGAGTTTGTGAGCTTCAGGCTTTCTATTTAAAGTCTTTGGACTTGCCTGTCATTTCTGATGACTTACTGCTTTGTAACAACTGACAGCAAGTGACTTGAAAAACACATAATTCATTTCAGGTGTTTTAGTCATTAACAAGTGGTTGGAAATGTCTTTTACATACTCTAGAGGAACAGCAGCAGCAGCAGAAACATCCTGTTTATTCCTTAATTTTCACCTGCATTTTTTTCTGTTAGCATAAGAGCTAAAATTTGTGCAACCGTGTCCAAAATGCTTTGCAACAGTGATTATTCCTTTATTTTGTCTGATAAAAGTTTTTTCGGCAGAGCTGGCTGTTGGTTTTTAGCTCCTCTCTTCTGCATTGTTTGCTGAAAGAGAGAGACTTTCCACAAGTCTGTTTCCCTCTCAGAATCACAGGATTTGGAGGATAATAATGTTGATCCATTCAAACTTTATTTTTTTTTTTTCTCTACAGCCTGGAGATACTCTGTAAGAAAAAGTTATTACAAACTATTTCCATGTGAGGAAATGGCTCAAAATAAATATTTCATCTCAGCTGCCTCACAGTAATTCCTATATGTACACTTTTATTTTAGGTTATGACTACACAAATGAGCTACCATGGCATAGTAAGGGTGTGACTTTGCAAGATAACTACTACACCACAACACTGTTGGTTTACGTGTTTCCACATGCAGTAAATATGAGGAAGTGTTTTTCCTCTCCCTTTCATTTAGGGATAGCTGTCTCCCATTTTGCAAAGGTAACAGTGTAGACTGATACGTGCTATGTGAATCACTATTACTTCTGTCAGTATTAAACACTCAATTCCTTTAAGGAATCTGCATTGGAACTAATTTTAACTGAACTATTTAAAGCTACTTACATTACAGTATATATCTTCCAAGAAGATGGAAAGCACTGGGGCAGGACAAATACCAGTACAGACTCCAGCTTTGTTTTTTAAGTATCACTTGGCTTAATCTTGGTGGCTTACATTGTTTAGTCCCATTTCGAAAAGAGAATAGCTTGTGAGCCTGAGGACTGCTGTGTGACTACAGAGCTCTGTGGGCATCATTCATCACTTGCAAATGACTGGCAGAGTCTGAAGTCTCTGGCACAGGCAGAATTACACTAGCAGATATTCTGAATAGCAGCATTTGAGCATTTTTCTTGCATTTATTGCCACAGAATAATACAAATTATGCAGAATGATAGTTACTCCTAAGGAATGCAATAAATACTGAAATGCCTGCATGGCTGTTGGCAATCTAACTGGGTGTTTTGTGCTTTCTGTGCAGGTGACGATGGCTCTGCAAGTATTTGTGCCTGGTAAGACAATCACTTTTAACACTGAATTACACGTCCTAGTGAGAGTTTTCAACAAGCATGCACACCTTGAGCTGTCAGTAAAACAAAAGTGGAGGAAAACCAGTCTTCCTCTGCTTGTTCCACCTCAGAGATCAGTGGGTACTGGAAGTGGAGCAGGTCTTAGATGATGCTGCGTGCCAGCTGTCTCCAGTCATCTTCTATCAAGCTCAGATGGGCACATTGTTTAAGCCTACACATATTTAGCAAACTTTAAGAGACATAGCATATTTCTAAACGTGATACATAATTCGAAGATGTCCATAAATTGTTGCTGCTGCTGAAGGTGATGATCTCGCCATTCTTCCCAAACTCCCTATCGCCCCTTGTGATGACACGAGGACATGTGGCCACACAAACACCCAGCAAGTTTGTCCCTCT